TATTTTTATTTTTTTTTACAAACTTTAACTTTAAACTAGAACTCAGCTACCTTAAAATTGGAATAAATAAATAATTATTATTTAATTAAATAATAAACAAACTATTTTCTCGAGTTATTTGACATAAACATGCATTTATTATAATTAAAACAGCCTGAGATGAAGCTGATGAAGAGGGCTCCCCTGTTTAAATACCACCTGTCTCACCTGTCTCACCTGTGCTGATGACGCACACCTGTCGCCTTCCGTCGCGCCAAACGACCCCTGTAAAACAAACGCAGCGCACATGCGCAGTAGGCCCGGCAACGACACGCATCCTGCGAAATAGTGCTCCCTAACAACAGACAAAGCTTGACACAGTGGATTTTAAATAAAAGCGTTTCTCGTTCACTCCTTCAATGGTAAGACTGGTTTTCACCATCTCGGGGTGTCCGGAGGTTTGGTTTCGCGGTTATCGGTGCAGTTTGGCGGTTTTGGTGCAGCGGGAGAGAGATGCTTCTCACACGATGCCATTTGAATACCCGCTGCAATGGCTGCTGGGGGCCGGCTAATTTCTGGAACTAAAAAAAAAAAAAACTAAAAACTAAAAAAAAAAACTTTAATCCCCGAACCAAACTAAAGTAACTCTCGACCATGTTTGTTATTTAACCAGGTGGAAACTACGGATACTCTAACCAGCATGGTGGATCGACACAGTGTTTACTTTTAGGGTTGTTGTTGAGTGTGTCGGCTAAACGTCCCTGTTCGGTGGCGTCTAAATGCTGGAGCGGTACGCCTCGTTAATGTGTGTTATAGAGATACTACTTTTATCAGTCAGCTTTAACTAAGTTGCTTATATGTACCTTCGTGTGTTTTGCGTGCAGATTGTATTTATTTTATTTTTTTTCAGCTCAGTTTAGCCAAAGGAGCTGCAGTTTTCCAGGAATTAGCCTGTGACTTCACCTTCATAGCAGACCGTCCAGGGCTGCGGCTATGTGCTGGATTCAGCTGACCTGGATACAAAGTGTACCGAGGACAAACAGTGCTGCGGGTATTGATGTTTGATCGAACTGTTTATTGATTACCGATCACAGGCCAGGCACGGTTATTTTGTCAATCAATAACATCAAGAGAAAGGTTGCATAAGTAGAAAACACAGTCAGCTTCATCTGCCTGTTCTCTGCAAACAGTTTAATGTAAAATAAAGATCACAAGAGCTGTAATGTTCAAAGCAGCGTTATAATGAAAGAGCTGCAGAGATGTTCTGGTCCACAAACAGGGTTTTGTTTTTGGTGAAAAGTGAATTTGTAATGCAAAAATGATCATTCCCACTTAATCTTGGATTGTAATCTGTCAGAATGATTTTAATAAGGTGTTTTTAAACATATAGTGCAGCCATACCTTCTGTTGGATAAGTAACTGAAGCACATCAGTCATGTGAAGACCTTTTGGTTTCCTAGAAAAGAAAAAAAGATGACACTAAAATTTGTTAGAAAGGTTCCTGGAAAAGGCTACTTATGGTTTCATTTATACAAAAACCTTAACCTCTAACATAGAGAGTATTTCCACTCAGCTAAAAATGCTCAAATGTGATTTAAAATGATTTGTTTGCGGTCAAGTATGAATCCAGTATTTGCTACTCATTTACAGTTTATTTTCTCCTTGCAAGGAACTTTTCCACCTGAACTACGAACTAAAATAAACGTTCTCATAAACGTACTCGAGTATCGCGTCTGTCTCCCTTTATAAGCAAGCTTAACGAAATTTACCATGTTTATTTCTAGGGAATGATTAGGGAATTATGCAACCCGTCGAACAAAAGGTTTCTGACTTTATTTATTTTTGTCAATTAGACGAGAATCTCCTCCGAATCAACTCCAACACAGTGTTCTCAGCCTAACGGGTTGTCCCTGTCTGTGGTGTCCCCTAGACGTGATCCTTCACCTTCTGGGGAAGAGACCGCAATCGCTCGAAGCAGAGACTCCCGAAAGGATCCTGTATCAGGGCGCTGCTGTTCCTCAGGTAGCGCTGGTCAACCCGAGTGTTGTGACGCTGGCAGAGGGGGGAGAGAGGAGACGGTTACCGGTGGCAACGGCAGGACGGACAGCGGCTCTGATGAATTAAAGTCTGTTAAATCAGCCAGATATAAGCAGCGTGTCGTCGGTATAAAACTGGTTTCTCCTGGTTTGATGAATTAGAAAGGAACTTTATGTAGGCTGTGTCCAAAATATTTAAAGTATGTGGGTTAATTTATCATCCGGTGGCCTTGTTTTCCTTCCAGTGTAACACATTGTTCGAGTCCACCTACATAAATCTTACCTAAGCCGCCATATGTGTCGACCAATTCAAGTGGCACGCTTTTTTTTTTTTTTGGATGGTGAACGTGTGAACGACTACCTGACACATCGGTGCGGTATAGAGTTTGAAGCCTGACCTGTTTTCTGTGTCCGTGTTTGCGTTATGTCAGTCAGATAAACGCTCCCCCTCTCCAGCTCACAGGAAAGGCCAGTTGAGCGCGCAGTGCACAAAATGAGGTTAGATCTTATCCGGCCCCGGGGCTTCTATTGATACGACAGCTTGCACTTGAGCGCCTAATGCTTCTGGAGAATATGTTTTCGTTCAATGAAGGTTAGGTCACATGTAAGGTGGCACGCTTCCTTAATCCCCCCAGTAAACACAAACGTGGTGGGAACATTGGGCAACGTCAGTGTCGCACGTGCCTCACCTGCAGGTCTCGTGCCGGAGATTAGACCAGGGTGCCCCAGTTCCTCCGTCGCCCGCCACCACCCTGCTGATCCCCCCCGGCGATAGAGGCAAGAGAGGGACGCGTCGGTTAGCGTTTGTGGGACAAGGGGAGGGGAGAGTCACGCAGCGGGAAACTACATAAGGCGAAACCCCCCCGCTCATTTATTCTGTGTGTGTGTTTTTTTTGCTCCTGTGTGTTGAAGCAGGGTCCGGACGCGCTCTCCAGGTGCAGAGAGTAGGCTGTGAGCGCAGACATGTCGGGTCGCTCTGCTGCAGAGATGGATGACTCGCAGGAGCTGCCCGAGCTGCCGGTGAGTCTACCCACGGTGACGCCGACGCAGAGCGAGGGAGGGAGGGAGGGAGGGAGTGGGGGGGGCGGC